TGACCTTCCATGTTCCCAAGGGTACCGATACCTGCTTCTCGAAGAGACATTGCAGAGAAATTGTAATGCAAGCATCACCAGAATAAAGCATGTATGAGTAACATTAATATTCCTTATCCCTCAACAGCATCACCTGTCTCCTAGATGCTCTCTGAAGCGTAGAAGCCGCATTACCAGCCACCCTGCCCTCATCACTACACTAAATGAAAACATGTCATCAATAAAACTTACCCCAGATGGCTCGTCATCACATCCTGTCCTCTCTCCCTTTGAAATCTGTCTGGAGTTCAACCATTTCTTACTGCCTTCACTGCCACCAACTTGGTCCAAACAACCCAGATCACTGAAGTCACCTCCTAACTGATCTCTCACATCTCCCGCCACACACACACACACACACACACACACACACACACACACACACACACACAATCTTTTTCAACAGAGCAATTTGAGTGATCCGGATAAAATGTCTATCAGAGCATGCCTCTCCTCTCCTCAAAACTCTCCAGTGATTTCCCATCTCAGTCCAGTGAAACCTAAATTCTCTCCAATGGTCAGAAGACTTAAAATCTGCCACATTCCTCTTCCTTTCTTATTTTTCTGCATAGTACTTATTACCGTTGATATACTCACTATTCTACTAAGTCATTTGTTTATCATCTGTCTCCTCTGCAAGGATAACAATTAACGGGGGTGCGAGTTTTTTCTGTTCTTCCATTACTGCTGTCTCCCCAAAGGTGAACGGTGTCAGCCTTCCACATGACTTTGGTGCATGTTTGCTGAATGAATGAATAAAAGTCACAGGAAGCACAGACAATGGTTCTGCCCTGTTAGCTTGAGGTTCCTGTCTCTTTCAGTAATGACAAAATTAATGAAAACACAGGAAAGCTGTAATACAACTAATGTGAGAATAACAAAGGCCTTGTAGGTGGGAGAGAAGTTAGGGTCCATAAACAAGGTTTTAGAGAGTTTTTTTTTTCTAGTTCTGAAGATTTCTGTTGCTAAGCAAAAGTTAAAGTAGTCAAGTTAGGCAAAGCATTCCCCTGATTGACTCTTGTGGCCAATTACTACTTATAAAGTTTCCAGAAAATTTTATATTTATAAATGTAAAGACTCCTAGTCTTCATTATATCAGCCCATTCTGATGCATTTTAAATTCAATGTATTACTTGATAAAGGTGTTAGCTAATGCTACCATTGTGATCATATTGCAATCTATAACCAACATGTATCAAACCAACATACTATATATCTCAGACTTACAAAATGTTATATGTCGATTTTATCCAATTTTATAAAATTCAACATATTACTGTTTGAGGGAGAAAAGTGAGGCAAAGACTAAGAATATTATATAACGAATCTAGTCTTCAGATAACAGCTTTAGAAAATTGCCTTGAAAGGGGGATTATACTTGTGGTATTTTAATAAATACTTTAAGTACTGCCTTTTTTTTTAATTATCCTTCTAAAAAGAAAGGAGAGGCAGGAAATATACTCTAATTTAAAGGGTCAATGATTTCCTTAAATTTCATCAAATACCAAGTTACTATATAAAGCTGAGTATGCTTGATACTCTAAAAACTGAACTATCTGGAAAGAGTCAACTTCAAACACCAGCTGTCAGTTATCTTATCAAGACTAAAAGAAACATAGTTTTCCTTACGTCTTTTGCAAGAAAGTGGGGGAAAAAATACTTTTGGAGGACTACTTGAATCCCTAGTCAAAAGGAAATAGAATAAAACTTCCATAAGGTCAATGGCTAAAATTGTGGTTTTAGCGAAGAAGCACCTTGACTGGGGAAGGAGGGGTTAGAAAAGGAATAAAGAGCCAACAGCTAGTTACCCCTCTCTTAGGAATCTCTGAAGTCAGCTAGCTTATTGAAGACATTGAGAGCAACAAAAAGGGCTCACAGGTAGATGAAGCAGAATGGAGGGTGTATTATTAACTGAATATTTACTACATAGCAGGTATAGTGCTAAGCACTTTACCGTCATAATCTCATTTAATCCTTTATATAAACCTGGGAGCTTCATTTAACAGATAAAGAAACTGAGACATATATAGGTCAAGTAATATGAACAAGTTGATACAGGAGGGGTTAACTGAAAAGCCAAATACCTCAACTCCAATATTCAACTGTCTCTATGTTGCTTCTTCTATAACTGAGCACATTGCTGGATTTTCCCCACGTGGGTAACTTCTCTCACAAAAGCACAAAAGCGACTCAGCCTTTAGGGCTAGTTCACTCCCGATCTGTATGCAACTTCAGAGATCAAGTAAATGACTACAGTCACCCACTGAGTTTCATTTTGTTTCATATTCATGAACTCTAATCTGAGCCAGGACCTTCCTTCTAAAAAAAAAAAAAAGAGACAAAATAAAACCAAAACCTGCCCTTCACCACAAGGAAGACTTTTACTGAATAAAAACAATTCAAAAGGTAATGCTCAAAATACTTGGAAGGCTGTTTGGTGGTAACTACTACACCCTAGCGTATGCTTGCCCTAACTCAGCAATTCCACTCCTAGATATATACCCACAAAAGTGCATACGTATGTTTACTAAAAGACAAGTTCAAGAATGTTCACTGCAACACTATTCATAATAGTCCTAACCTGGAAACAACCCAAATGTCCATCAACAAGAATGGATAAATTGTAGTATATTCACACAATGGACAAACAAACCACACCTAGAGGCAACTACAGGGGTGAATCTCATAAACATAATGATGAATGAAAAGGCTAGACAAGAAAGAGTTCATATTGTATGGTCCCATTTGTATAAAGTTCAAAAACAATCGAAACTAATCTATGGTGTTAAAAGTCGGAACAGTGATTAGTCTTCAGAGGGGTGATTGAAAGGACAGCAGCGGGGAGGAGGTCCTCTGAAAATTTTTTGAAAAATTAACATTTTCCATCTGAGAATTCCTAGCCTTCCATTTGCAACTGAACGTTAATTCATAATGATCAAGATTTGAATTGTTTTCTTTAAAAAAAGAGAATAAGACAAAATGGATGGTTCTAAATATTTAAGACTATCCGTATGTTACTATTTCTTGTGTTAGAATATTTTATCACATATGAAAGAATAGCTTTGATGTAAATATTTTATTAACCACACGAAGGAAAGGGGCAAAGAGAAAACACAGACAAGCAGGAAATAAAAGTTTATCTAAAAATTTCCTTTGCAAAAATAATACTGACAAAGATGAGTTAGTGGAAAGAACGAATATCCTGAAGCGCAGTCCAATATTATTTCCAATAAAGCTTATTTTGAAAGCTACTGTACTCTGTTACGGGACGCTATTTATTTCCTTAGTAACATGATGCTGTGACTACAGCCTACTCCATGTCGTGGAAAGCCATGCAACTTCCTAAAACAGCCACAGAACACAGCTTTAAGAGAAGAGAAAGTAACATCTCTCTGTGATGCTCTTATTAATTTTAATGAGCACTGAGACCTTTCAAACATTGTGATTGTGAATCACAGTTGACAAGTGATAAGAACACTTATAAATTTACTTTTCTTTTCCTTACCATAAAGGTTGCTAATTTTCTTAGCAGCTGACATTAGAAATTCAAGTATTTTCCAGATGAAATTTCCTAAGAAACTGAATCTGGGTTCCAGAAGACCCATGAATGATGCTCCAATGTCAGGTAGAGACAATTTTAGAACATCTCTATTCCAGTGGTCACACCATTTTGACTTTGAATTAGGCTTTAGCTCCTAATTCTGCATTCTTCCTTTAAATAAATTTAGATAGGAATTTAGAAACTAATTTGTAAGTAAAACAAGTAGGAGAATTATGTGTTATCAATCAGTTTCTCTAGCTGTTATATATTCAGAATTTGAGAGCTCATTTCATAACCCTCAGCAAGTCACTTGACCCTTTATCAAAATATGTTGCAAATGTTTAAAAATTTTACATGCCTACAAAATTCTCTGAACCCTTCAAGTATTGTGCAACTGCCAATTAGCAGCTCTGAAGAGCAAAACCCAACTATGCCTCCATCTATTATATAATGGGTGCTGCTGTAGTAAGCTGAGGAATAACATTATGCTTTATATAGCTTATACATTTCCTCCTTTTAAATCTTATTTTTATAATTAAGTTTCTAGTTCCTAGGGTGATTAAAATAGACTTTTCTTTTAAGAAAGAGGAAACCTTATGTAAGAAAAGTAATATCGTAATACAAAACTGTCTAGATTATATTAGGTTTGTACTTTTGATTAATTACTCCAGCTTTTAAATTTAAGACAGCTATGTTTTATATACATTTATATTCCCAATTTAAAAGAAACTTCTCATCCAGCAACTTCCCATCACTGCTAAGACTGTCAAACATTTTGATGGTCAGTATATGTGGTATGTATGTGTAATATTGCTTATTTCTTCAAAAGAGTAAAGTAAATAAGTGTAGCCATCTAAGGAACTAAAAGCAATAAAATAAATAAATACTATAGATAACTAAGAAATTGTGCAAACTAATTTTTGAAATATTCTACTGTCTAAAAATATAAGTATATGATACAGAAACTTTATCAATTCTCTATTTTCAGGTAGGAATCTCAAACATCATATACAGAGAGGTATCTTATGAATGATTTAATTACTATACAAATTTCATTTACATTCATTCAGAATATAATGCATTACTATTATAAAAACCTGATTCTAAATTCATTTATTTAACTTTAAAGGTCCTTTATATTAGTAGCCCATTGCTATACAGATATAGGTTTATTATGAATTTACTTATAGAAATTTACTCATTTTACTTTGTAGGAATTATAGATGCCTTAATATTCTCATTTCTCACAAGTAATAAAATTAGCATTCAAATAGTCTTTACTAAAAAAGTCAAACAGAACTTTTGGGTCAGTACGTATGGATTAAAGTCACAGGAGAGAAGGAAGGAAGAAAAGGGTAACCACTGGACCTGGGAACTATTTCCTGTTTGGCTTAGGTCTGGGACATGGGAGCCACCGTACCTCACACAGCAGTAAGTCAATGATGTGGAAGACCATGCAGAGTGGGAACTTGGCAGTGAAAAGGGTCAGAAACCACTGAGACGCGTACATGTGAGCTTCCAGGTTCAGGTCACAAAAATGGCTGTGCAGGTCCGGTAACTGCTCCTAAAAGTCAAAGTGGGAAATTTAGGGGACAGGACACTGAAGAAGCTTTACTGCCTGCCACAACTGCAATTTATGGCAAGCTTTCTATGAATACTTGGAATTCACTGCAGCAGGCACTGAATTTTATATAACTGCACAGAAGTGATGACAGATGTGCATCAAGGAGATGACAGATCACTGAGGAAAACACCAACAGACTTCTTAGGAACAAGTAACGAAGATCATCTCTTGCTCACTTCGCTGGCCTTGTCCCTTGGGAACGCTGGCCCTGACAGATAACCCACCCGCAGCGTAAGGAATAGCATGACTCCAAGATCAAGTGACAGTACCCCATTCAGGTTCAACTCCTAACTCGTTAGGAAAGACGTGTATTTAATGTCAGCGTCTGGCTCTATGATACCACTTCAGTATATTTTTTGACAATTTAGTAAAGACCGAAACATATCCAAATTGTTAAAAACCTATCTTTGCTAGATTAGAAAAAGTGGCAAAGTACAGAAACTATAAATGTATAATGTACAAAATTGAATGTCTCCTTAAAACGAGACATTTCTGCCAGCTTTATCTTTTTTCCCGTTATACCAGTAAATGCTTTTCAGAAGAATATAAGGCACAGTACGAAGCATTAGCATAGTATTCCCAGAACTGAAAGACAATGGTGGAGATACGTAAGAGCCATTTCAGTGCTGTTTTTATAAACAGACCACAGAAACAAAAACAAGAAACCCACTGCTTGCACAAGATGCTCTTTGAAAAACACCCACATGTGCCCATCTATTACTTTAAATGGGGTGTCCCATGATCATCCAGTTAACAGACAAAAAGTGCTAACAGAAAAATGTGTTCGGGTTTCTTCATAGGACCGCGAACTTGCTATTCATTTATCAGGTACAATTACTGGACTCTCCAAGAGCTTAAGAATAGTGGCCTCTGAAAACATATATACTTCTGTACACGCAAGGTGAAATGTGAATTATCCCCAATACTTACTTGGGAGAATTAAATCTCTAAAAAAGAGCCTATTGCTTTTAATGCCCATAGTTACCAGATTCTTCTAGACAGTCTTTCCCCGCACAATGCCCATTTGTCATTGTGTTTATAATTCATCTGACATCCCTCCACCCCTTTGTTTTTTCTTCACAGTTAAGGTCTCCCACTCTCCTAACCCCTTCTCCCGGTAAAGCTGTCCCCAGCCTCACTGCAACCTCTCCATCTCCACTCCCGTTCCCTGTTCAGGTACCTACGGGCCTCCTGACGGGCCACGTCCACGAGCTCCTACCAGTATCTTCTGCCACATCCCACTCGCCTTCTTCCCCAGCCATTTCACTTTTCACCAATATGAAATCAAGCCATTCACGTATATTTTTCACATTTCTCTTAGGTTCCCAAAACCTCATAGAGTACATAGATCCATACAAATGTAAGATTTCTAATCTCAGGTGGAATTTCAAAGCTACTCAGTAATTCCTTTCATCAGCATTAGTCAATAATTCTGCCCTTGCTCACAATCTTTTTTATTGCATAATGTTTGACATTTCAGTATATATAAATGTTTCTCATATATATAAATTTATATATACGTATTATGAAATAGTAATAATACTGTCTGAGATTGGGAAATTATGTGGGAAAATTTTTAAAGTACGTCCCTACATTATAATATTTTAGGTGTTTTATTCTCTTACCAATATCTTTCTGTCTCATCGGTGTTCTCTTCATGTGGACTTAAATATGGTACTGGTGCTAATTAATATAGAGAAAGCTCTCAAGTATTTCAACTTTTATTATGTCAATATCTTTGTGTCTTTACAAATAATATTCAGCAATCTCTTCATTGACTTAACTCACTGTAATCGCACTTCAAAGTGTATTACAGTTGAATATTTAAAATGTAAAAACTATTTTTAAAATGGTCAAATGGTTAAATAAATATTTTATAATATGAAGACCAATGTAGATATTGATCAGAAACCAAATCTATCTGCATTTTCTGTAAAATTCCGTTAAACTTTCATAAATCATTATTATTCATCAATTTTATTAGATTTTTTTTTATAACTCAACCAATCCCTGAGTGATAAAAGCTTCAAAATTTTATTTACCTGCATTAGTCTCTCCAACTGATAGAATTTGCAATGAAGATCTTCAAAGTTGTTTTTGTAGAGATCTCGTAACCCATAGTCATACATGATTTTCACCAGAACACAGAACGCTTGTTCCTCTGGCATCTACAGGAAAACATACAAAGACAGAGCACGACTGAGTGGCATTTGGCGGGAATGTCAGACAATTTCCGTCATGTTACTAGTCTCCCACATTAATGGCTTGAAGGCCTCTAGTGAACGGCATTCTTCAGAGCCAGCCTCCTGCAGTGACATAGGTAAAATCTGCCTTCAAAGCCTGTGGATGAATTTCACCCTTTTGTTAATTTTAATTATCCTTTCATTCCTTCATTCTGTCATTAAGCCATCTTAAAAATAGGTAATATAGTCACGTGATTCAAAAATCAAAACAATGCAAAAGTATATAAAGGTAAAAGCCTCCCTACTCTCTATCCCCCCGATATTAATCCCTGTGCCCCCCCCCGTTGCATAACTTTATAACTACTCTTAATAATTTCTCATGTCTCCTGCCAGTGTTTCTTTATGCAAATAAAAGAACTACACTTCTTATTTTATTTTTTTTCCTTTTTCTACACGAAATATAATATTCTATATACATTGTTATACATCTTGGTTTTTTTCTTTCCTTCAATAATATTCCCAAAAAGTGACCTCTGGGTCAAAGGATAAACACGTTTTTAGTTTTGATAGATAGTGTTATATCATACTTTCCTCCCAGAATCTTCTTCATGTTGTTATGTTTCTTTCTATAAAAAACACTTTTCTGAAAAGAATTTTATGTACTTCTATCATTAAGATTTAAATGACCAATAAAATCTAATATACCCTCCCACAGGTATTTTTATCTGAACAGATAATGAAGTCTGAAATCAGAGAAACAAGCTCTAAATTGTGGTATCAATAAGCTGAAAGAATTTAGAGAGAGACATATCCAATATTCTAGAAATTACACCAAGCAAGAAGAAAAGGCTGTCCTTACTTAATGTCATAGCATGTAACTATTATGTAAACATCTACTTTAAATGTCACTCCTTTGAAAGTCTGATCTTGGCTCATTATGGTATTTGACACCTTTGTTATACTAACCTCCTGTCTGAATAACTGAACCAAGTAGAGCTCTATTTACCCACTTAGAAATGTAATTGTTTGTTTAAGCTCCTATACAAATTGGACCCTTCTATTTTCTACTTACAAACCATGAAATACATAAAATAGTTAAATAAAATCTCTTAAAGTTAAATAAGTACACTTAGCTGTTGTCATTTTGACTCTCTAAATATTTATTTACTTCTATTTTATCTATGAGCTGTTTGGGGCCTTGATTTTGACCCCGGGTGTTCAAGTCAGCCAGCATTTTTTAATTTATGTGCAGTTATTTAGAACATAAGTACACTGTATTCTTTTCTCCTTTAGCAATCCTGCCATTGAAGCCTCAAACGACACTAAGTTGCACACACATGGTCTACAATCCTTCTCTTACCACCAGTTCTAAGCCCTTTATCTTCCTCTCTGATCTCTACGAAAAAGGCTAAACAGGAAAGCTGCACATAAAATAACTTTACCCAAAGAAACGAATTCACTTTATGTCCCCCTCTTTCTAAGTGAATGATGATTGGTTGACTATTTTACCATCTGGTATCATTTTACAAAGGGGATAAACCTTTATTGTCTTAACTGTGGTAGAACCATTAAAGCACATAAAAGGTTTAAATGCCTTTCACTATTCATGCATGCAGTCACTGAACATATGAGATGAACGCACTATGCTAGGCCCTGGGGATACGGAGGTAAAGGTCTAGTGTCTTCCCAAAGTAAACAGGAATTCTACTTGAGTTTGATATGGACACAGAAGTCCTGAATAGGGGAGGTTGGGTGTGTGGACGAGGAGATAAGACATCACTACAGCTAGAGTAGAAGTACAATAGAAGGATAGCTGGGTATGGGCCCTATCAGGACAAGGAATTCAGGAAAATGACAAATGAACATAAATCTCTGCTCTGCTTTTAGGTATAAAGCTTAAATTCTCTCTCTTCTCTCTCTCTCTCTCTCTCTCTCTCTCTCTCTCTCTCTCTCTCTCTCCCCTCCCCTTTATCTTTTCTCCCCTTTCCCCTCTCCCTATCCCTCTCTGTGTCTCTCACACACATATACAAAAACAATATATTTAATAAATGATCTTCAAAACAAAATTTTTGAAAGTTTGAACTTGATCCCTAAAAAATAAAACTGACAATCCTAGCCCGAAACCTTTATCTAAAACATAGATATATTTGGGGGAGGAAAATAGTCTTGGAATTAGTATCCTTCATGTCTATCTTTAGCAATAGAGCCAAGTTTTTGATTTTCAGTTAGTTCATGTGCCACATGAAAATAGTAGACTAAACCTATAAAATACCAGCCCAGCTGGGGTGGAATCAATACTGGTCATCTGTGAAGACTAGGGTGAGCTATAATAAGCTCTTAGGGGATTTTAGATATTATCTCATCATAAAAATGACTAAAAATGAAGACAGAAAAAGAATGCTAACAAAATGACTCAGAAAGTAATGGAAATACGTATAATCCCTAGGAAAGTTTAAATACTACCTTCTTGCCATTTAAAGACTAAATGGAATCTATTTAGCATGTCTAAGGTTCTCGTGGTATATCTCTTTCTTAAATTAATGTATTCCTTATCAGTAGCAGCAACCAGAGGAAGCATACAAAATTAGCAAAAATGTCAGATTTTAAAAATGAAAACAAATACCTAAAAATGTGTAAAATATGCCCCCCATCCCCAAATATACTGATTGACATTTACATTCCAGAAAAAAGGAAATTCACATATTGACATACGGTATTTTGCTTTTGAAGGATAAGACAAATGCATGTTTAAGGAAGATGTTATACCTTATAAAAGTGTCAGTAACATGGAGTGAAGGCTGAGCCTAGATTTGTGGTATTGTAAAACGTAAGATATATGATACGTAAAGATATTTTGAAAATTGTGAATAATAATCATTTTTTGATGGCCACTAATTACTTCAATAACAATAGGACAATTTATTGACAGCAATAAATTATTAGCTTTGTCAATGCAAATAAACATAATCATTTCAATAACAAGCTGAGTAACAGGGACCTTGCTGTAGCTTTAGCAGTATTTGGCTATTATGAAAACTCATCAAATACTAGAAAATAAATGGGAAGTATATATATATATATATATATATATATATATATATATATATATACTTCCCATTTTATATATATATATATATACTTCCCATTTTACAGTATTTCCATCATACAGACAAAAAAGACTTAAACAGACTCAAGAGCATAGCTACAGTACAATGTGGCAACATAATCACTGGGTGATTAATTATCAATATTTACTATTTTCAATGCTGCTTAATTATAAATTTACACCACTTAATTTATCCAGCTTTACTGAGACATAATTAACATATAATACTGTATAAGCTGAAAGTGTACAAAGTGATGACATGATATGTGTATATATGGCAAAATGATTACATTAGGTTAGTTAACAAATCCATCATTTCACATATTTACAATTTTTGTCTCAGGTTTGATCACAAGTGGCACTTAGAACACAAACTCTTTGATGTTCATTTAAATTGACGAGATCTTTGCTTTCAATTTCAAAGCTCTTTGTGGCATGTAGTATAGTTATTTATATGTTCCTACTAACCTCTGGACACTGAAATAACTTTGTATCCCCAAAGCTCTTAGTATATAGACTTGAGTAAATATCAAGTATTAGATATTTGTTTAGGGTAACTTTAGTAAAACTTTGAATACACCTGCCTTTATCAATGAAGGCATGTCAACAAGTAGGGCAATCTGTTGTCAACTGCAATAGTAAGAGTTAGCAAAAATGTAGAAGGAAAGAATTGGTGTGAAAGTGGAAGCATGGGACAGCCAAACATAATTATATCAGTACTTGATTTCTTTTAACATTATTACAAATGCAAAATATAAGAAACTTTTATATATCTGTATTTTGCATTGGTTATTAAGCTTATTCCTCAATTAGCATAAAAAAATCAATCAAGATCTTAGAATAAATACCTACTTCTAGTTGTACCATCAAACCTCACCTTATTACAAAAGTGGGTTCCGCTACTAGGTAGTATTGTGGCATCTGCCTACTTTTTAAAAAAAGCAGTAAAATAATGATTTAACTTATTACAATGATTAATATTTCATTGAACTAGACAATCCAATTTATCACTGATATGCAATTAGTCTAAAGTATAATAAAAATAAATCACTGAGCAATATATATATACATATATTTTAATTTTGTGGAACAGTCATGGTCATTGGTTACACATTGCTTTCATGCTACAATAGCATAGTTGACTCTTAAGGAGGGCTCAGCTCACAGAGGCCCATGCGGGGATCTAACCAGTAACCTTGGTGTTATCAGCCCCACGCTCAAACCAACTGAGCTAACCAGTCACCCTCCTGAGCAATATATTTTTAAATAAAATATTAACTTTGGAGCATGGTGGGTCTCTAATAGTGAATATGCATCTTTGCTGTGAATAGGAGTTTTGTCACGGAATCAGTGATGTTTTCTTGGGGAAAGGAGAAAATAAACATTAAAATCTTGTAATTTAAAATATCAAAATGTCATCCACCGCTCTATGAAATACAAACCTGCTTCACACGTACAATCTGAGACTCAAGCGTGACATAAACACTGTTTGATAACAAATATTGATTGCCATCTATATTCACAAAGGTAATTACTGAATGGAGACAGTCTCCATGCTTCACTGCTTCCATCTGCAGCGAACCATAAAACAAGGCAGCTCTAAGTACTTCAAAAGTCTTTAAGACTCACCTGAATGAACATACATCAAGATGTTTTGTGAAGTAAAATTAAATGTTGATAATTTAAAATAAACCCCTTATTTAGAATAAAACTAAAATTTCTATTCTACATGATTGTGTTTTCACATTTTTGTGTAATCCATCTACCTTTTTTTCAGAGAAGGCACTGAACATTCCACCGATTTTTTTGAGTTTCCTTCAACAAAGGTGGAGGCTAGTGACTATTTTGAAAATCATAAACTCATAAGTCTTCATGTTCT